AGTTGGCGCAGCAGCACCAGAAACGTACGTGTGAATTAGTTTGCCACGAGGCAGACTGGTGCCCCTCCCCACCTACCACCCTCAACATCCCCTCTCTGATCCTGGCAGGATCCCAGGCCGATTTCATGACAGTCGGGAGTGGTGGTAACGAGCGTACTGACTGGCATAGTCAAGCGGTCCCTCAGCGGTCTACCGCACATAACCGGTCTTCACTACGAGCACCAGGCCACAGTGTTTGGCCAGCGCTGTCCGCTGACGGGCACAGAGACACAGACCTGATGATAGGTGCAAGAGACGCTGTAAATCCTTTCAGGGCTGCGAGTGGCAATGACCATGAAGGCAATACACTGCAGCTGACGTAGGAACCCAAGGTGTGCCAGATTTTCAAGATCATGTTGGAACAGGCCGAATGAGTGACTAACAGGAAGCTTTTGGCAAGGCGTAGAGTTAATACACTGGCTTCGGTTTAATCGTGTACAGTTGTGGTCAAAAGTCAAACCCACCCTTGTACTCCCTCCTCTAATAAAAACGCCCGAAAAGAAAACAAGTTTTGTGGCCAGAAAGCGGAAGTACACTTATGTAAAACGGCTGACAAAAAACCTAGTCGCTAGGTGGAAAAACAACGGCTAACGTGACAGCCGAAATGCGCTACTAACCCTAATAAAAAGAGATATGGGAGGCGGATAGGAGCAGAGGGAAGGAAGAAGAGGAAAACCAGCAGCAAAATGTTCCGACAAAACACGCAGTTTCAAAAAAGCGGTATGTCGTAGCGAATTAGTCGCAAAATGTGTAGCGAAGCACCAGTGACCGGCAAGCGACTATCTTTGTGAAACTGAAAGATGGTTATTATTAGTTAATTCAGTTTTTAATGTATTAAAAACAGTGACGAGTGGTTATTATCATTATCTATTAATTCACTTGTTGAATGATTATAAATTGAATATCTAACAAACTGCACTTGAAGCGGAATCGCTCACCCCCAGCTGCGTAACTGGAAACCAAACAGCCTAATCCACAACCCCCAACCGAAAGAAAACTCTAGATTCACAGTCATTGAATCAACCGCAATTACGTATCCCCTTCTCTCTCCCTCATTCCTAAAAGCAATTCTAAGTGTACAGCCCAACCTACGAAACTACATCTGGAAGGATCCCACACCACCATACCTTTTTTTAAAACTGCAAATTCATTTTCCATGAAAAAGAACACGCCCACAGAAGACAGCCTCAGTAGTAATGCTAAAAGAGAATTACCAATTGCGGGTGGGGTTTCCAGGTGGGGTCTTTGAAAGGTCCTTATGTAGTATAGTCACCTACTTAAATGTTTTAAGTAGGTTGGATTACCCTTAATATTCCAGTGTTCTACACGCCATCCATCAATCCAGCAGGGATTCGATGATGGCCTTGAACTGCAGAGTGGTCCTGCGAAGGTCACCGCATAAAATAACCGCTTAAGTAAGAATACTAAGCAAAATTAGTCTTTTCAATTAACCACGAGAATAATCGCTTACTTACAAATTTTAAGTAGGGTGACTTCCCCAATCTTCCTACTTCTGTGCTGCGTTAACCTTTTTTCTAGTCGGTGTTGGTGGTACCACTGGAAAATGTTCCTCAATGACATCGCCCGAGGTTATGGCACACTCCCTTGACATACACGCGTTCACCGTTGGTCGGGCGGGATGGTAGCAATGATTTTAAAGCCTATTTCAGTATCCCCACCTGAGGTTTGAGTACGGGACCCAACTTGTTCTCGTACATTTTTTATTGAATCGGAATATTGCGATTTAATTTGTTCCCGGACATGCCCCGACCGTCCTCTCCCCTAAAATCAGGTGCTCGTGAGCCTGAGGTGTGCGCTTCACACGCTCCTCAGGCGGCCCCACAAGGAATCCCTACCCAATTGCGACAGTGTTGTCAGCAACAACAACGAATACAAGAAATTGAAAGTACATGAATGAGGGTAAAGGAAAAAAGGCAAGAGGAGAGGATGAACGAAAGGAAAAACACTCTGTGCAGAACTCGAAAATCACAGTATGGGAGTTATTGCTTGCTTTACTGGAACCAGAAGATAAATTAGGTTACCACGGAAACACCTATGCTAAGAAGAAGACAACTCGATCGCTGGGACAATACTTTTATTCGTCTGACGTTTCCAGACCCGTCGCGGATTCATCATCGGCAGAAAGCAGTAGCAGATACAAGGTCCATGCTAGTTGAGGGAGCATCAAGTCGGGATGAACTATTCACCGTACTATTTCAGGGGTCTTTCTTAACTTTCGTAATTAAGTGTTACTTAAACGTAATAAGTAATACTATACCAAATTAAATTTTGGGGAATGAGGGACTTAGCGTACGAAAGTCTTGTAAAGGATAAATTGGGCTACCACGGAAACATCCATGCTAGTTTATTGGGCGTCAATTCGAGGGCGAGACAATAACTTTGAAGACGACTATAAGTTCTGGTTCTGTCAGGCAAAAGAGAGATCCTGCTGAGGAGAGGCTTCTGTCAGTACAGTCCAATAGCAAGCTGTCCAGCCTAAACAGGTTTAGCCCCTCTGCCGACTACATCTTACAAGCCTAGACGAATTAGCGTCTAGACTTTCAATCAGCAAGTCAAACCGCCGTCTCATCGCACTGCCTGAGAGACGAGTCTAGTGTGACCGAGTGTTCTGGTGTGTTATTGGGTCACAATAGCAACTGCTCGTAGAGGTTGTAATCTCTGATTACCCAGATAAGGGGGTGAACCAAAGCACTAATGGGTACACTGCGCCCGACCGCCAACTCTCTCTCTCTCCCTTTCAGTCTCTGATCTCTGTCGGGTGGAGTGAGTTAAATCAGAAAGTAGACTGCGTGTCTGTGTAATACCTCCAAATCGCACTTACCGAATCGGGGAGTATGGTTGCCTTCTCCTCGTCAGGTTTCTCGGAATCAATTTTGTCTGAGGCCGCGGAGTGTTCTGAAACCGAAGACTCCCCAGTCTTGTTTGTTGCTGCTCCGGATGGACCTCCTTCTGCGACGCTATCACTCTCCTCTTGCTTCATGTTTTCGAGCTCTTCTTCACTGCAAGGTTGGAAGCACAGGGAAACATCATATCCAAAGCCATATACGTGTTGACCTAAGGGTAGAAACAAGAAGAGGGACGGGTTATGGGGGAAAAAAAACACTTTTCGGTAGACAGGACACTGTGAACTATGGGCGAAAAGTGTGGTTTCCGCTTAACCACAGCCGTCCCCGTTTATCTTCTGAAGGCACGTCTTGGTGCGAATCGAGAATCGTTACACAAATGTAGATTGTGTTCGACGCTTATATCAAAATCTTTAAAATAAGACCCGAACCCGTCATAGCTGTGCCACGCAGCGGCAGGATATCGGCAAAACATGTGTCCGAGCTTTTAGCTATTAGAGTAGGTCGCCGGTTATTAAGCCCACGGTTAATAAGCCCAGCCGCGTATTAAGCCCAGTCGCCGGTTATTAAGCCCACGGTTAATAGGCCCAGCCGCGTATTAAGCCCAATCAGCTTGGGACGGAATTTTACATAGCAAAATCCGCCTGCTAATAAGCCCAGTCGCCGGCTACAAAGCCCAGTTTGCCAACAGGATA